GTGTGGGTGTGGGTGTGGGTGGGTGTGTGGGTGTGGGTGGGTGTGGGTGTGGGTGTGGCCACTAAACAGAAAAGTTACAACCACACCTACCTACACCCACACCCACACCCACACCCACACCCACCCACACCCACACCCACACCCACACCCACACCCAATAATAAATGATGATGATGATGATGAATTCGATCTTGAAGAAGAAGAAGAAGAAGAAGAAGAAGAAGAACTAGAAGAAAATGATAACAATGAAGCCGTTAATGAACTTAATGATGATGTCATCGTTGATCAAGAAGATGAAAATGATTATAATATGACAACAATAAAAGCAAATTTCAATGGTATGAAAATTTTCGATGAAATTGAAACTTGTCGACGACATTCTTATTTTAAACTGAAGATTAATGACAGTTATAAATATATTCATAAGCAATCAGCTTGTTGGTTATTAACTGATAAAAACATGCGTTTATCAAATGATCGACTCTCTCGAGTCATCCAATCAAGTCGTAAAGATAATAACAATCTTTTTTAATTTATTGTACCGATTAGATTTTTTCTTACAAATAAATTTGAAGAAATTTCTAAGCACATTCATATACTTATATATATATCATCGTACTTCTTCGTACTTCTTCGTACTTCTTCATACTTTTTCGTACTTTTCCGTACTTTTCGGTACTTCTTCGTACTTCTTCGTACTTCTTGGTACTTCTTCGTACTTCTTGGTACTTCTTCGTACTTCTTGGTACTTCTTGGTACTTCTTGGTACTTTTCGGTACTTTTGTACTTCGGAAGTACAGAAGTCCGCTTGTTCCCCCTTGGGGGTACCGCTACTATTTCCAATAGGACATATAATGAATTTTATACCAAAAGAAAGCCCGTGAAAAATGGGGTTTACTGATAGCAAAAAATAAGGGTTATGAGAACTTTTTTATTTGAAAGCCTTCAAAGTTTAAAGAATTTTTCATGAAATAATTTTCAAATAGTCATAGGATATAGAAAAGTGGATTTTTTTCCGGAAAAATGAAAATATTTTGCTTTAGTGGTAATAGGTTCTAACTATGACTCAAAAGGTGCTATTTTTCTTTTGTGTTCTGTCCTCTGTTCCACGTGGTCTTAGTGAATAAAAAGGATTTTTTGTCTTTCGTCTCCCTGAAAGTTATAGAAAAATAGCTCGAACAACTTATTTAACGTAGGTCATTTTTTGGTTGACATCGTTCATAAACGAAAACCTATCGTTGCCGTGAACTAATTCTATTTTGTTATTGTAAAATGGCTGGCACTTATGATATCGAAGAGCAGAGAGTTATTGACAGAATTAGTTGTATCGCTTTTCGTGAAGCTCGAGATGCTAGCGCAACATTTATCGATCGAAATTGGATCGCCGATAAAGTTCATCGTTCGATTCGATTTATCACAGACTGGTGGCAAAAGTCATATGATCAATGTTTTGCTGATTATTCAAACGCTAGTCGTAAGCTTAAATTATTACAAGCAAGTCAAGACATCATTCGTGAGGCGAGTGGTCGACAAGGAAAAAGTTGTTCCGTTGTGGCGAAGAAGATTGCAGAAAAGCAGAAGGAATATGTCACTCGAAGAACAATTAATAATTATCGTCACGGAGAAGGATTAAAACCATTTCATGTTATTCCAAAACCGGTAAAATCTGAAACTCACATATCAGATCGATTGTGGCTGTGTGATTGGTTAAAAGATTGGACTGAAGAGGATATTCTTCATCTGGCACCATCGGATGAATTTTACGTGTGGGTTGTTCGTCGACCAAATTATCAGAATGATAGAGTTTGGGCAAAAAGCGTCGATGATATCGAAGAAGACGAACGTTATCGTAAAATAGTTAAAAACCAACCATGCATTGGAATTTTTGTGATATTCACGGCTAGAAGGTTACATTGGGTGATTAAAGACAAAGGTGAATCCTGGACTGGTCAATATTTTCGTGATATAATTTTGACTGAACAGGTCCTTCCATTCTTAAAAAATGAAGAAAATGTCATTGATCCCGATGAAGTTATTTTTATCCATGACAAAGCACCATGTATGCGAGCATATCCTACCCAACATTTGCTTCAAGACAATGATATTAAATTTTGGGGTAATGATATTTGGCCTGGAAATCCACCTGATCTCAATGTGGCAGAACATATTGGAACAATTATCAAAGATGAAGTCGAGAAAAAAATGTTATCAGAAACAAGAGATTCTCGCTACCTTGAAGAAACACTCAAGATGCATCTTTCAGATGTTTTGACAAACATGGAAACCGACAGTGATCTATTCGAAACTCTTCTATGTTCGTATCCATCTCGATTACGTGCAGTAAAGAATGCTAACGGTCGTCATACTGATTATTGATTGTATCAATTCAGCAATGAAGAATAAAAAATTTTGTATGAAGTTTAGCTCGATTTTTATCTCATAAGTGATATTTCTCAAATCTATCATCGGTGAATCTTTCTAAATTTAGGCATTTTGATATACGAAAGTTTCCACAACCCTTATTTTTTACTATCAGTAAACCCCATTTTTCACGGGCTTTCTTTTGGAATAAAATTCATTATATGTCCTATTGGAAATAGTAGCGGTACCCCCCTGGCAAAATATTTTTTACAACCCTGTACTTGTGAAGAAACATTTGAAGATTTTATTTCAGCAGGCGATAATGAAACGATTTCTAGTTATTAAAGATTTAATAAAAATTACATTAAGAGAATATTTTTAAATGAATGTTGTGTTAATACAAAAAAAGAAATGAGTTTCAAATTTCGAATTGATAACATATCCTGCAGATCACTCACATCAATTAACTGGATTAATATTCGAATTTCAAGATAGAACCAAATGAAAATATGTGACACTTTCACAATAAACTATTCTCATTAAAATCGTCGATATTTACAAAGTCAGTTTTTCTGTTACTGTAACATTTTTATATTGAAATTTTCTTTCTGTAGGTCAGACTCTTCCTGAAATCTTAATAATAAAATTTCCATCTAAAATTCTGTCCACAGACAAGTTTCAGATCAGAGACTGTCACGGAGTATTTTGTTTTCTTGTCCTGCTCTAAGGTCAGGGTGCAGGGCATCAACAGATTAGAATAATACTTATAAATTGAATATGTCTCTTGCAAGATTTTAATCTTCAATAAAATAATGATATTCTCAGATGTTTTTAGTCACTAAACCCCGTGCTAGAAAAAAGAACAAAGTAATTTTAATTGCAAAACAATATTTGTTTTTTTACTAGGGCTATGTTTTTTTCAGTTTATTTAATAAATATAAGTACGATTTTTATATTTATAAAAAAAACATCAGTAAATTCTTTAAATTTTTTCAAAAATAAACACCATAGATGTATATAAACTATACAGAAAGTTTTTTTTTGCATATATATTCTTTTTTTCATGCACTCACTTGATTGTCTAATGATATGACATATCGAAGTAATATTTATGGCAAGAAAGAATATTGCTTCATATATCCAGTTGTCATACTATGTATTTGTCTATCTATCTATAACAGAACAAATTTTTCTTCATTCTTTAATTTTCAAAAATAAACAATTTATCTATGTTCATTTTATAAATATCAAGATTTATTTTTATTTATACTTATTCTTTACTATAATTCAAAAATAGAGTTATTACTGGAAAACAAAATTTTAATGTGCTGAATTTCATAAAGTCAGCAGAATTTTCGACATAAAATTTTAAAGAACTCATATGTCTTCTGTTATGTTTTATGAAATTTTTTAAGTGCATCGTGGTCTTCTAACATAAAATATGATCTTCTATTCTTGACTTGTATTTAATAAAAATCGACCATCTTTTAGTTTCATTGATTAAAATTAAGTCTTCTGAATGGAAAGCAACTTTTCTTTCTTGTACTTTTTTCCCCGTTCATAAACATTTTTAGCAAGTAATCATTTCATATTCAAATTTCTTAAGACATGTAGCAGAAAGAAAAAACTCGATTACATTTCCAATCAACTTCATTTTACAAAACAAGGTTTAATTCATTCAAAATTATTTGTGAAATAACAATCAAAATGAATTGAAGATGAAATAATTAGATTAAAATCGACTAAAAACATTCGCATTTTAATCGATTGTTTAATCAGAAAAACTAAACTGGAATTAGCCTTTTTCTTTTAAATTTTTTTGGCATAGGATAAAAGTCTTTGCCCTGCCAGCCAGTCTCTAGTTCAGACCCAATACAACATCCTAAAGGTTTTAGCTCAAACGATTAGTAGAAGAAGATTAATAACTGACATTTTCCAACTAATATGTACTATTTAAAAGAAGTTTTACCTCTTTTGTACATTGAACGTTGATTTAAAATAATTAAGTATTTCTTCCAAATTTTTTAATAAATCTTGCGTAGAAATAAGACTTACTACTGATTTTATAGAAAAATAATGTTGTTGAAAGTAATCGTTCAAAATTAACTTTTGTATCTTCATTTGTGTTTGATATTATTGATGAATCTTTATCATTCTCTAAAAAAAAACAAATGAATGGGTTCATGACAAGACATGATTCAATACATTCTTCAAATCTAAAACTTTAGAACTCCTTTCTTCTACGAAAGTTGAAATATCAATTATAGAAAATGATCTTCTGCCCAACAAAAATGATGATTGTGAAGTTTTTTGCAATAGTTCGAGAACATTAATAAAATAATTCAATTTTTGAATAACTTGAATCATTGTGCTACTTTAAAAACATTTTTTCATTTGTTAAGATTTGATAAATCTTCAAAAAATTAAATTATTATTATCGAGTAATAATTGTAAATTATTAAGATCATTTCATATAAATAGATGTATAACTAAACAAAGTTCATCATATTGATTATGAAAAAAATGATCGAATTGTTGTTGATCCTAAAACATTTGAAAGAGCATAAATACCTTCTAAACATCCGACTTATATAAAAGACAAAAATAACAAACAATTTATATACGAGTGGATGTTTGAGCTAAACAATCAAATATTAATGTTGGTAAACATGATATTGTTTCACATTGTACTCCATCATTGAATATAATTACAGAAGTATTTGTTTGTTGTAATGAATAATGAATTTTATGCATCCATTGACAGGAAGAATTGATCCGTTTAGGTAAATAAAGTATTGACCATTGATATACTAAAAAAATGAATTGTGATCAACAAACCTTAAAATCAAAAAGTAGCTAGTAACTAACTTAATACAATAAAATCGACTGATGCATTATTCAACTTCAAAAATAAAACTACCTAGTTAACTAATATCTCTATAATTGACATACTTAGCAAAAGTTAAAATAGCTGCTGGACGAACACTTGTATCATTATCAGCAAGAAATAGAAAGATAATGTCAATACAATGATCAAATCATGATCGATTCTAAAAATAAAAGTAAAACAAAAAAAACCAAGATATTGTTTTTATCTTCTATATATGATTAGTTTTAATTTACTGTTTTTTTTATCTGCTATTTTTGTTGTTCAAAATAAGTTAGTATTCAAGAAAATCAATATTATGCACAATTTGAGCTAGAGCAACCTATTTTATACACATAAACAGTTTATTGTAATCATAAGTTTCATTTGTCTACTTTAGCAAGAATATAAGAACTTGTACTATGTTGAGTAGAATCCTCTAATACTTCAACTCCTATGATTGTAAATGTATAACATGTGTATTATTATCTTAAATACATAATCGAAATGCAGAAAGTAATTCTGCTAATACACCTAATTGTATATATTTAAAAACAAAAAGAAAAAATACTTTTATCAAAAACAAGAGACGATTTAATATTCTAATCTAACCTTAAACTGTCTTGTGAATCAATTGATACAAGTGAATATTCATTAATAAAAGAATTATTAAATGAATATGATAATGATAATAGTCTTAAAAGATGAATTGTTCTTTTTAATTAATGTAGCAAGGAAAGAAATTTGCATATGTATCACATAAATATAGATCGCCGTGTTCACATAAAGATAAAAGATATGTAATATCTTAAAGAAAAAAGAAAGATACCTCGATGTTCGATAGATTTTAATGCATTACAAGTCATATAGAGATAAGAATTTCATATCAATTACAAAATTTTTATTTTATCAGAAATCTTCAAAGATTAAAGAAAACCTCATTCGAGAATACAATTGATTTCATATCATAATGAAAAACTGAACATCTCTTTCGTACTAGATATGTACAGAATTCGTACTTTAGCTTCGAACTTTGTTTTTGAGGTAATTATGTGATTGTATAATTTCAATCTCTGATATATAAATGCAGCCTCTGGACTCTAAAATTTTTGTATGTCTAACCTATTTAGTAAAATGTTCTACTTGATATATTTTCGAGTCTGATAATGTTCTAGTCTTTTGTTGGTTTCAAAAAGATTAAAATTTCATATTGTTTTGTTTCAACAATTCAGTAGTAAAATCTTCATATCTATCAGATAACTCTCACTAAAACTTTGAGACCATAACCAATTGAAGCCACGTTAACTAAACTCTGTTACAAGCTCCTTCATCAGATTTATCCTATTCATCTGAATCCTCCTACTGTTACAACATTGGAAATAATTTTAGATTATAAAATAAATGTATTTTACTGAACTGAAACTTTACAAAAAAGAAAAAGGTCTCAAACAAGCATTAAACATACCTACAGTAGAATAATCAAATTATTGATAAATGTGATAGATATGTTAGTGTAGCACATTGAGCAAATGTCTAATTGGAAAAAAAAACATAATTGATTAACAAGTTTAGCAACTGATGTTTGTTTTTCACTATTAATCATTGATTTTGAATATAATTCATCATTCATTTTATATACTAAAATATCGTGTTGTTTATTAATTTCAATAAATCAACGTTGATATGTTGAATAATCTATTATTTTAGAAAAAAAAACTTGTTGTTCTCTTTTCATAATATTTACCTGTGTTTAATGTGTGACTAATACAAGTTACTTCTATATATTCAATTTGAATTGAAATTAATAATTGATCAAAATCAAATAAATTTGAATATTTAAGTATAATTTCATGTGTTTTCAATGAATTTCATATTACATTATAATCTTTTATGTTGTAAACAAATATAAAATATCGTATCAACACTTTAAAAAATAAAGATTTATATAGAAAATAAAATCATTCATTATTTGTCAAATACTGATTGAAAGATGTTGTTCATTTCTACCAATATTTCTAGTTCTTGTTATTGATCGTTGACTTTTTCTTGATGATGATTGAAATTTTGTGATATTTAATTTAAGATAACCAAGTATTAAACTTGTACTACGATTTTGATTATGATGCTCAAATAATTGATCTGTTAAAAAAAAGACAAGTTATAATTAATTGAAATAATTATTTGAAAGAAAACTTACCAATTATATTGATCATTAGAAAACGTGCTATAGTCATAGGATAACATATTGACTCAATAGGACATGAGAGGTTTCTGAAAATAATTTATTATTAATATTAGGAAAAAAAAGAAAAATTCATTCTCACTCAACGTCATACCTTAACTATAACGATTGTCAGTGAATCAACTATGACTAAGTTATTTCATTTCTCATTGATATTTAATGATAAATTAAATTTTATTATTCTTACTGCAAATGATGGACAGTTTCTCGATCGATATTTCGTCAAATAGTATATGAGACTACCTATTCTACATTATCTGAAAAATATCCTCTCCTGGTCTAAGTTTTAACTAAAAATGGACTCAGAAGTTATTGATTAACTAGAACAATCCTTTTCTATGTTTCTATTCAATCGCATAACTTTTTTCTGATAACTTCTTTAGAAGAGATTTCTTAGATGACAAGGATTTTCTTTTTTACTTACTTTGATTTTTTCATCATCATTAGTTGATCAACCAAGAATATAAAAAATAAGTTCATTATATTCTGATAAAATGGTTAAATCTTTTTCGAATATATTACATTTGCTGATTCATCAAATCGCCATAGAACATCTAATTGAAATTGAAATAAAACAAACTTTTGAAAGCTTTTTATCCAACATTAGGATTATCTTTTATAATTCCATGTGATTCAACTTGAATTCTTGTTAAATTTGCTTGTTTTAAATCCTATTTTATAACTCATACAAAATTAATAAGAAAAAGAATTTCTTTTATAACACTTTTACAATAGCCGTAACTGATTTAAAATTATTTTCATCTTTACCTCTAGATCAAAACAAACGTTCAATAAAAGATAAAAACAAAATGAAAAAACAGATAAAGGCTTGAATTATTTACTTGGTTATTAATGTTTCTCATGTTGTTGTTGAAGATAATTTAAAACTTCAAGTGATTTACTTAGTTTATCCATATTGTTTAATTTATATTGAATTCATTTATTTTAAAGCTAAATAAATAAATGAATAGTCGACCGAAAAAGTCTAACGTCGATTGAATATTCATAAACACCATTGATATTTCTGTTCTTCTTATTAAATAAAAATAAATAGTCACTTTCATCAATGTATGAATGAAAAACTATTCTACAAATCTTTATATTAGATCCATAATGGCGACTGTAAATTATTATTAAAAAATATAAAAAAATTCTTTTAAAAAAAAAATCAACTACTGCACTTAATCTATTTGAACTTCTGTTTTATTATGTTAATATTCAATCAATATGATCGTAAAATAGTATTTTTGTAAAACGTTATGTAATAAGTAACAAAAATGATTCAATTTATAAAAATTCCTTTTGCATTTTCTTCTTTCAATTATCTCTTATGTATGTATGTTACTAATCAAAGAGAATAGTCGATAATTTTTTTTGTGTGTTGTTCTTTCGTTCAGTCATCACTCTTATAGCATGATATTGAGTGCACGACATCTCATTTGTTCTTACACATTCCAGATGAAAAGAAAAATAAATTGAACATGAAATGTTTAAAGATAATATAGATATCGTGCACTCAATATCGCAACATGCGTCAAAACAACCGGTTGTCATCTTACGCTGCGTATTAGAATTCCGTCCACGTCGTCTTTCATCGCGTGTTTCTGTTTCTTCTCGTTCTTCGTAACAGAAGAATAAAAAATTTAAAACAAACGGAGCTTTCGAAGGTGGCTCTAAAACAAAATGAATCTTTCCAGGGATATCCGAGGTTCTGTTGGTAACCAGTACAGGTGTGCAGATGATAGGCCTTCATAACATACATCTATGTATGTATGATTAGAAGCGCCCATCTTATCATCGTCTTTTCGAAGATGATGATCATGGATGTACCAGTGATACATACATTCAATGTATGTTTGCTTATCATTGGCGACTTTGCCCACTGTACATCCCAAAAGAATACGCAGGGTATCCCTGGTCGCGCATGCGCGAAATTTCTGCAGCTGGTGCGCTTCAGCGAGCCAAGCGTGTTCAAGAAGGCCAATTTATTTTCTTGTTTAAAAAAAAACAATTACATTTTCTTTTTTACACTTTCAATGTTTCTTTCCGTAAGTGCAGTACTTGGATGTCCTGGGGAAAGAGCAATCTTCTTGATTTGTAGTGCTTTTTCGTAATATGAAAGTGCTTTCGAGTACTCGCCCATGTTATTATAAACCGAACCGATGTTGTTGTAGGAAGCAGCCAAGTCGGGATGATTCGGAGGGAGAGCTATTTTTCGGATTTCAAATGATCGTTCGTGCGATGGAAGTGCTTTCGAGTACTCGCCCATGTTATTATACACCATACCGATGTTGTTGTAGGAAGTAGCCAAGTCGGGATGATTCGGAGGGAGAGCTATTTTTTGGATTTCAATTGCTCGTTCATACGATGAAAGTGCTTTCGAATACTCGCCCATCTTATTATACACCGAAGCGATACCAGTGTAAGACGAAGCCAAGTCGGGATGATTTGGAGGAAGGGCTATTTTTTGGATTTTAAGTGATCGTTCGTACGATGAAAGTGCTTTCGAATACTCGCCCATTTTTTTACACACTATACCGATGTTGTTGTAGGAAGAAGCCAAGTCGGGATGATTCGGAGGAAGAGCTATTCTTCGGATTTCAAGTGATCGTTTGTATGATGTAAGTGCTTTCGAGTACTCGCCCATTTTTTTATATACATTACCGATGTTGTTGTAGGAAGAAGCCAAGTCGGGATGATTCGGAGGGAGAGCTATTTTTTCGATTCCAAGTGATCGTTCGTACGATGAAAGTGCTTTCGAGTATTCGCCCATGTTATAATACACCATACCGATGTTTCCGTAGGGAGTAGCCAAGTCGGGATGATTCGGAGGGAGAGCTATTTTTTGGATTTCAATTGCTCGTTCATACGATGAAAGTGCGTTCGAGTACTCGCCCATCTTATTATACACCATACCGATGTTGTTGTAGGAAGAAGCCAAGTCGGGATGATTTGGAGGGAGAGCTATTTTTTGGATTTCAAGTGATTGTTTGTGCGATGAAAGTGCTTTTGAGTACTCGCTCATGTCATTATACACCATACCGATGTTGTTGTAGGATTTAGCCAAGTCGGGATGATTCGGCGGAAGAGCTATTTTTTGGATTTCAAGTGATCGTTCGTACGATGAAAGAGCTTTCGAGTACTCGCCCATGTTATCATATACATTACCGATGTTGTTGTAGGAAGAAGCCAAGTCGGGATGATTCGGAGGGAGAGCTGTTTTTCGAATTTCAAGTGATTGTTCATATGATGAAAGTGCTTTTGAGTACTCGCGCATATTATAATACGCATTACCGATGTTGTTGTAGGAAGAAGCCAATGAGTGATGATTCGGAGGGAGAGCTATTTTTCGAATTTCAAGTGATCGTTTGTACGAAGAAAGTGCTTTCGAGTACTCGCCCATGTCTCTATACACTGCACCGATGTTGTTGTAGGAAGAAGCCAATGAGTGATGATTCGGAGGAAGAGCTATTTTTCGGATTTCGAGTGATCGTTCGTGCGATGAAAGTGCTTTCGAGTACTCGCCCATGTTATAATACACATTACCGATGTTGTTGTAGGATTGAGCAAAGTCAGGATGATTCGGAGGGAGAGCTATTTTTTGGATTTCAAGTGATCGTTCGTACGACGAAAGTGCGTTCGAGTACTCGCCCATGTTATCATACACATTACCGATGTTGAGGTAGGAAGCAGCCAAGCCGAGCTGATTCGGAGGGCTCATTTTCTTGTAGATATCGATTGCTCTTTCGTGAAATGTTATTGCCTTCGAGTATTCTCCCATGCTTTGATACACCGAGCCAAGTTGACCATTATACTGTGCTTTGTATCCATCAGAAGATGCCTTCTCGAGGAGTAGCTGATAGCGATGTTCTGCTTTTGCAGGCTCACCCAGCTGAATAAGAATAGAACCCAGTCGAGACCATCCTGTTCCCGCGACGTTAAGCTCTTCGCCTAAATGTACTTTAAGTTTGCTAAAATCATCATCTTGATTACCAGCAAGGGTGAGATTGACTTGCCAGAGACGATCCGTATGCTTATCTTCAATATGTTCTATACGATCGATGCGAAAAATTGTATGTGTCGAAAAAAGAATTTCTCCTTCTTGATCATCATAGAAGCCATCATCTTTGACGTTGACGAAAGGTGTCGATGAAGCTGTGGAAATGGCCGTATCGATGTTCATAACGAAGAGAATGCCAACTGAATTCGCATCCAATGCTGCCACTCGTGCAAAGGTTTCGAAAGAAATCTCACGATTACGACTTGTCGATAAGAAATTATTAAAGGACATAAGTCCACCTTTGGTTTTCTTCATTTTTTCAAAGGCTTCCATAGATAAGCCTTGACCACGAAAAACTTGAAATTTTGATGGCATGGCTACTTTGCTACTTTGCTGTTTACGATGTAAGTCTGTAATATATTGATGTAGATGGCGGATGAAAAAGCCCATTTTAAGTATAATGTCGACTTCCATTAGTCGAAGACCACGATTGAGCATAGAGTAGATAAAAAATGGACCCGTGTACCACCAAATGGGTGTATGATCACGATATTCTCGCTCGATCTTTTTGGGTGTAACTTCGGAAGCATCACTGTGAAGACGACAGTATTCAACGAGTTCCTTAATCGATTTTGTATCATCATCTTCGATTTCCAAAAGTGCTTCTTTTAAGAATTGCGTATACATAAATAACGGATCAATACGATTAAAACTGATTGAGATCATATGTTGGTCACAATTTCTTTGATCGATTTGTAATGCTTCACAAATTGGTTCAATTTGTGTGTACACACCTTTTACCTTAGGTATTGTTTTGATCCATTTCTTATGAGTCGATTGATTGTGACATAAAACATAAATGGAGATTAGTTGCGGGCATTCTTGAATTTCTGGTATTATATGTTGTCCTAATGCACCCGACACAATCATGAATACTTTTTCATTGTGAATGTCAGTGAGAAAATCAATACATTCGTCAACGTCTGTAAATGAGGTGACTGCTGTCGAAATATCATGTAGATGTTGTATTGATTTTTTATAATTGTCTTTGGATTCATCGAAATTGTCATCAAGCCAGATCAAAAGAAAATTTTGAAGTACTCGACGAACGGGTCGTGACTGTGTGGTACTTCTGCTTACAACTATTGGCGCTCCTGCTGCTGCTGCTGCTGCTGCTGCTGCTGCTGCTGCTGCTGCTGATTTATTTGGCCTACTTGTTGTAGATGATGAGTTGCTAGCCATTGATTTAGAATTTTTCTCGTCCACTTTAATGATAATGAATTACACACTGTATGAATCAACAGAAGAAAAACATTTCATTTCTGTCTCGAAATATGTTTCGATTTTCTCTTCCTTTTTATGTTGACACTTTTATTTTCGTTTGACTGATAGCTATCGACTTCAAGAGTTCTTATTCCGATCGCTGTATTTCTATTGCAAAAGTGTTGCTGACAGAACGTAACAGGCAAACTATGTGTACATGCATCAAACATGAGTCAAGGAAGAACAAGAACGAAATATAAAAAAAAAGAGAATTGCATTATCATCATTCATAATAGAAAAGAGAAAAAAACGAAAAATTTAAAAATAAGACAAAAAAATTTTGTTGTTTGTTCTTTCTGTTTTTCTTTTTAGTTGCCTCAGGTTTCATCAATCAAGGATAATGGATAGCAACCTATTATGAGTTGATGGTGGCTTCTACTGTTGCCAACATGCTCTTGTTAATGTATGTTTCCATGTTCATTAATGCATTGAATGAATAAGTCTTGTTAAATTCAAAGTAGCAAGAAAAAAAAAGAGAAACTACCGTTTTCTGCTAGTTTATTCAGCTTATTTATATGCACACAGCTAATTTCACTGCATTTTGATTCATTATACTATCTATTTCAGTCATCTAGTGTCAGTATGATGGGTTTAAAGAAAATTTATAGCGTACATTCACGCTCTAATGCAACAGAAATTTTTTCTTTAGTTGTCGGATAGAGATAGTTCTCTGATCTTCTGTTGAATTGGCTGTTATGCTCAAATTATTATGTTTTCTTTTGAAGTTTGCGTCATCATCTCAATAGATTAGAGAAGAAGAAAAATAAAAATAAATTCATGAGAAAGGGTGGGGTGTGAGATGCAGGTGAAGAAAACATATAACCTACAGCCACACCCACACCCCACACCCTAGTATAATACTGATTGTGAGAAATACATATATAACATCTGAAATATGTAAGTAGAACTTGTTTTAAAAGATGAATTTCTCATTCATGTATAAAAGCTATCCTGTTAGTATTATTATTTTTCAAGCAATTCCATGAGAAGAACAATGTTTTCACTGCTACATAACACCTATCAAATCAAAATTAATTTCTTATTTACTTTAGGAATAACTAAACATGTGCATTTGGAAGTACGGTAGCGAAAATACAAAATTTCAGTGAAATTTTTTTTTCGCTCGTTTATATATGATTTGATCACCGTTTGGCTGAGAAATACGCTAAAAAAATTGAATGGCTAAAAATGTCATATATAGAACTATATCGCGCCTATTTTAGAGAAATGACAAAATTTCAAGCATATTTATTTCCTCAAACTTTTTTAAAATATCATATTCTGAATCAGCGTGAAAAACTGAATTGAAAAGTGCTATTTGATTAGATTTAAAGCTAAAAAAAGTTTAGAAAATCTTGTCTGATATAGATACTTCGAGTACGCATCGGTGACCATTCTTATAAACCTGTCTAGTTTTTTGTAGTAAGAGATAGAAGCAACTATCTTATCTCATTAGAATCGTCTGAACCTGAGCTACAAAAGTACCCATTTAGTTTTTTTTAAATTTTATTTTATTGTCCAGAAAATCCATTTTTTTAAAAATTTTCTTAGTCACTGACTAATCCATTTTTAGGTATATTTTTCATTTTTCACTATAGATTAGCGTTTTTATCTTTACATAGGTAACAAATCAAGCAGGATTCGATAGACATAACTTAAAGACTACTAGGAGTTATCTAGACAAAATTATAAAAGTTATTTTTTACCAAAAAAATAACATTGACTAGTTTTTTTTACTGTTAATCTATCGTATTTTCATAAGATCTATTCTATTTTCCTGTATATCGGTATAATTTTCACAAAAACACCAATAAACAATAGAGGGATATTGCTATAATTTTCACAAAATACCAATAAAAAAATATAGGTGTATCGCTATAATTTTCACAAAAATACCAATAAGAGAATAGGGAGAGTAGATGAACGAAGGAGTGAGAAAAAAAAGTAAAGTGTTAAGTATTCAAATTAGTGTTCCTAATTTTAAGATGTCCTTTATTTGTTCCCGTACAGATGTTGTTAAAGTATAGTTGTGGGACTTCGCTGTAGCTTTTCCTTTGATTATATGCTTCTAGACATTTCCAAAATCTTCGGAAAAGTTTAAGATGAACTTGCTGCTCTCGAAAATTGATTCGTGACTCTTCGATTAGTCTTATCATGGTAGGATATTTCTGATCAGTTCTTTTTCGTACGAACTGCTCCACATGAGCCTAACACCCTTCAATAGCATTAATTTCGCAATGGTACTTAAAACAGAATAGTACCAATATATCATATTTGTGTGTCAGTTGTTCTAATCGTGAAATCTAGGGAAGGAAAAAAGAAAAGATATTTTTAAGGTTTTGTATCAGCTGCACAAAATTACGTTTCGAAATGCCGGATGATGGGCAAATAGCTGGCGTAGCTCACTTAATTTTGCTTTTGGTGAAGCACTACAGTTAAATTCGACTGCAATCTGAAATAAACCTTTGGATTTTCCTCGATCAGCACTGTGCTGAAAATAACATGATAATGATTGTGTAACACCCTTATCATCCACCCATTGAATTTGATCTACAGGACAACGTGTTGAAACTCCTTTTTTCTAAAATCTAATAAATTATAAGCACGAGCTGAATGATTACGAACATTATCCACTATAATTTCGATTTTATGGTTGTTGTAGCATTCTTTGGACTCTAGTAATTTAAATAATCGCTCGAATTGTGTTAATATTGTTAAATTATCGAAATAAGCATCAGAACTAACATGCATAGATGCACTAGCAGAACTTTCTATATAATCAATATCTTGTTCTTCATCTAATTCTGGATATTTTTCTAATGCTTTATCATATCCAACTGGAATTAGTTGGAAAAATGGACCTGATGGATGCATGACCAAAAAGTCTGGTAACATATTAGACTTACCACGACCTTTAGAATAAATGGCGCCTGATCATAGTATAGCCA